CTTTTCTCCTTGATTTATTTCCCCCTCTCTCAGGTCATCCCATGGTTTTCAGGTCCCCTTTAGAGCTTTATCCCACCCATTTCTTCTTGCCAAACTTCACCGCCGACCCGCATCACCGCTCCTTACTTCTCGCCAGTAGCAGCAGCAGCAGCAGCAGCAGCAGCACAGGCTGCAGCCCCGGTGCTGGCGGCGGTGGAGGAGGCAGCTCCAGGGGACCCCAAGAAGAGTTGTCAATGTTTCAGCTGCCCACACTCAACTTCTCCCCGGAACAAGTGGCCAGTGTCTGCGAGACGCTGGAGGAGACTGGAGACATAGAGAGGCTGGGGAGATTCCTCTGGTCGCTGCCCGTGGCACCGGGGGCATGCGAAGCCATCAACAAACACGAGTCAATCCTCAGAGCGCGGGCGGTGGTGGCCTTCCACACCGGCAACTTCCGAGACCTCTACCACATTCTGGAGAACCACAAATTCACCAAGGAGTCCCATGGCAAATTGCAGGCCATGTGGCTCGAAGCGCATTACCAGGAGGCCGAGAAGCTGCGGGGTCGCCCGCTGGGGCCGGTTGATAAATACAGGGTGAGAAAGAAGTTCCCGCTGCCCAGGACCATCTGGGATGGAGAGCAGAAGACGCACTGCTTCAAGGAGCGGACTCGCAGCCTCCTCAGGGAGTGGTACCTGCAAGACCCCTACCCCAACCCCAGCAAGAAAAGGGAACTGGCGCAGGCCACCGGCCTCACCCCCACGCAAGTAGGCAACTGGTTCAAAAACCGAAGGCAAAGAGACAGAGCAGCCGCAGCTAAAAACAGGTCAGTGCACACGGCACCCCCAGTCTGGGAGGAGAGCGAGAGGCAGGGCTGGGCTGGATCTAGGAGTGTTAGCGCTCTCGGAGTTTCTATTTGGCCCTCGGCGGTGGGGGAGTTTGTTTGTTTGTATTTAATAATAATTATTAAAGAATCAACCGAACCCTGCACACCAATCTCTGTGCTCCAGCTGCAAAGATGCAGCCAGCAAAGGCGTTGTTGTGAAGCACGGCAGGATGAAGCCTTCGCTGCTTGCCAGAACAAAGTTTAGCCGCACAAACACTCGTGCAAGGAGCACCCACGAGGCTATCCCTTTCTCAGAGGCTTTCCTTCTTTCTAATTCTCTCTCTGTGTAATTCGGTTTACAAACGGCCGTCCCCAAACGCAGTGAATATTCTCTCCTTTCCTGGAGACTGGGGTAAAAGTGACGGGAAGCCACACAATCCTGCGTGTGGGGTATATTTTTTAAATGCCACTTGCGTTTGGCACATTTCAGTGGACTCCTCTCCCCACCCACACACTAACCTGTTTACACAAACATAATTCAAAGTGTGCTTCTGCAAATTAGGCATCTGTTCTCCTGTTGTTCTTATTCATTATAAAAAACGAATTTGCCTTAGAGGGAAAATTGGGGAAAGCGCCGAGACACTGAAAAGCATTTTCTATCACATTTGTATTTATAGATGCAAACAGCACGATCACCTATGTGTGTGCATATAATGCAGTGTGTGTGCGGTGTATTTGTTTGAGTTTATAATGTCACACTGAAAGCAAATCTCTAATTCAATATTTCCTGTGTTGTCCTACGTGGTTGTTATAAGTTATTTTAAAATTTAAAATAGACCCCTAAACAAGCTATACGGCCTGATTTTAAAACATACGTTTAGTTATCGCTGCAAGTGTGCAAATAAAACTTACGGCTCTTTTTTATTGTCTCTCCAAATTCCTTTTAATTATACTATTGGCACTGGTGATTCGGGGGCCTGAAAAAATACAAACTGCCGCTGCTTTACTATTTGATTTCCATCCAATGGAAGGCAGAGCAGCTTAGCACGGTAAATAAACAGAAGTTGCATACGAATGCTGTTGTTGACTGAACGCTTTTAACAGATGGGAAAAAATACACCGGGAATTGCAATAAAAGAAGCTAACCACACACACCGAAATTAAAGAATTTTAAAATGACTGGCCCTTTGAAAAAGATTTACATTTCTCTGCTCTCTGCGGGCATTGAAATGAAAAAAAAAATGCTTTGGTGGGATTCAGTAGACTCACGAGGACGTTTTGATAAACACTGGATGTGCTTGTTATGCGTTGTGAGTGACCGAGCAATACAAGACTTTTAGCTCCTTTCCTTTATCCTTGAATTAGATTTTTCTCTACATTTAGAAGCGAATAAACAAGCGCAGGAGAGTGTTCAGAGTGGGGTGACTCAATGGAGTATTTTTTATTCTCTTTTGGTTATTTCGTCTATTTGAAAATCAAATGCTTTGCTGCGTGTTGACACTGCGATGGGCAGCAGTTTGGAGTCTTTTGTTTTGGTTGCTTTGATTCAAAACGGAGTCAGACGTAAAAGGGTCTCCCTTTTAGAGGGATAGAATATGCATTATGGATTTTTGCTACATATTTGGGGGATGTTGCTTCCTCCACCCCTTCTCGGAAGCACTATTCAAAGACATGTTTTATATATAATATCAGACAGGAGAAATCAGTTTCACCTGCAATACTTTTCTACCACAGGGTACTCTGTAGCTTTGCTTATCTACTGTGTGTTTGATAAACTCATACATATTGTCTTAGTTAAGGCCCACAATACACTGGCGTCCGTGGTGGAAAAATGGACGGGGGAAGGGGAGGAGCAGGGGGATTTAAAAAAAAAATTCTCAGGAGCAATAAATTAGTTCCCCCTCTCCACCCTGCCTTTGAAAGTTGTGATTTCTCTCTTTATATCTGAGCTTCACCCGATCATATCTGAAGTGGGCTTTCTCAGATCTGTTTTGAAACACTTGCAAGGGGCTGTCTGCACTGCAGTGACAGGAAGCCGAGGCAATGCAGTTCACGGCCGACAGCTTTACCAAAACATGAGGGAGGGGGGTTCACTCACTGAACCTTGATGGCCTGTACACACAGGCATGCATATGGATGTGTGTACGCCGTGCACGATGCTCGCTAGATCGCAGGCCGCCACGAAAAAGCCGGGCGGATGCGTTGAGCAGGGGCTCAGGCGTGGGACTCTGAGCCCGGCCGGGAAGCGGGAGGCTGTGGCCCGCAGCCGGTGCAGAGGGAGGCTGTTTGTTTGGCGAGTGTCTGTTTGTGGAGGTGTGTTTGCGAGGGCTGGGGGAAGGGCGAGCCGGGAGCTTCTGCCGCCTGGGGCTCGCTCTCCCTCTCTCAGAAGGACTGTGTCGTTGTTTTGTCTCCCCATGCGATGCAGGCTCCAGCACCAGGCGATAGGACAGAGCGGCATGCGGTCGCTGGCGGAGCCCGGCTGCCCTACACACCGCAGGCCGCCACGAAAAAGCCGGGCGGATGCGTTGAGCAGGGGCTCAGGCGTGGGACTCTGAGCCCGGCCGGGAAGCGGGAGGCTGTGGCCCGCAGCCGGTGCAGAGGGAGGCTGTTTGTTTGGCGAGTGTCTGTTTGTGGAGGTGTGTTTGCGAGGGCTGGGGGAAGGGCGAGCCGGGAGCTTCTGCCGCCTGGGGCTCGCTCTCCCTCTCTCAGAAGGACTGTGTCGTTGTTTTGTCTCCCCATGCGATGCAGGCTCCAGCACCAGGCGATAGGACAGAGCGGCATGCGGTCGCTGGCGGAGCCCGGCTGCCCTACACACAACTCGGCCGAGTCTCCGTCCACGGCGGCCAGTCCGACCACCAGCGTCTCCAGTTTGACAGAAAGGGCCGAGACGGGGACCTCCATCCTCTCTGTAACCTCCAGCGACTCGGAATGTGATGTATGATACCGGCAAACCATGCAAGCCAGCCAACCGAGCCCCCTCTCCCCGGCCCAGACCAAACAGCCCGACGGCCCAAGAATCGGACACACAGACACCCACCCACCCAGCAAGAGAGACGCAAAACAACAGTAAAAATAAACAATAGCAAACAAACAAAAAGAGACTCCACCGCCACCATCAATAGCCACCGCCACCGCCAAGAGATGGAGCTACAACTTCAACAGACAGTCACTAATACTGATGCTGCAGCGGGGGGAACAATAATAATAATTATATGAAAAAAGTGACAATTGTATTCTTTTTAGGACAAGCACGATTTCTCCTTTGCGCTTTTCCATGGACGCATTTCACCCACTTGCATGATAATGATGATGCTGATGATTAAATTTGTATCTGGGAAAAATATTCTCTATAGTAAAGAAACAAAAATCCAAAAAACAAACACAAAACAAAAACTCCGATCGAATTTGTATAAAAACGATAAAAATAAAAAAATAAAAAGGAACTCCTTGAAGAGGGAAATAACAAATGTTTATCGCCTTTTTGTTGGTTCTCTTTCTCTCTCTTTCTCTCTCCCTCACTCTCTTTCTTCTTCTCTCTGTTTTTTAAGTCCAAGTGATGGTCCAGCCAAGATGCAATCTTCTGTTTTTTTGTTCAGCAGACAATCATTTTATTCGTAAGCACCTTTTTTTTCTATACTTCTGTCACTGCCTGTGTGGGTACTGGTTATAAATGTGGAAAAAGAATAGTTATGACTGTAACAGATTTTTATTTTTATTTCAAAATTTTATATGAATTATGTATATCTTAATGATGCGGTCATTTCCCCAGTTTGTAATATATGTGTAGAAATGCCTGTATATGATATTTGCTCTTTTCTTTCTTCCCTCCGCCCCCTTCTCTTTCTCTCTCCCTTTTATTTTCCTTGACTTGGTGTTCCTTGCACAAACTTAGCTGTCAAGATCTGACGTGCTAGGTTTTAAAAAGGGACCTCAGCGATAGAAAACAGCTTAGGGTGCAACTGTAGTTATCTTATGCAAAAGCTATTTTGAGTATTTCATAGCAGCTTTGGGGTCTCTTCTTAAACTCCACGTAGGACGCTTATACTGTTGTTTCCTTAACTGCGTGTTTATCTATATGTACAAACTTTCTAAATCAAATACAGTATTCCATTTTCTTATCTATTCAGCGATGTTGGTGTTTTTGTCTATTGCAAATTATATATATTTATATATAT